CCTTATAGCCTACCCAGTCCCACCCCCTGGCCATGGGCAGGGACACCTCCCACCAGCCCAGGTTGCCCAAAGCCCCATCCAGCCTGGCCTTGAGCACCTCCAGGGATGGGGCAGCCACAGCTTCTCTGGGCAGCCTGTGCCAGAGCCTCACTACCTTGAGTAAAGAATTTCTTACTTTTATCTAATCTAAACCTACCCTCTTTAGTTTGAAACCATTCCTCCCTGTCCTACCACTACACCCCCTGACAAAGAGTCCCTCCCCACCTTTCCTGTAGCCCCCTTTAGGTACTGGAAGGCCGCTGTAAGGTCTCCCTGGAGCCTTCTCTTCTGCAGGCTGAACAACCCCAACTCCCTCAGCCTGTCTTCAAAGGAGAGGCTCTCCAGCCCTTTGATCAGCCTCGTGGCCCTCCTCTGAACTTGTTCTAATATGTCTAATTATAATCATGCCAATTACAATTTCATAGCAAATAAGCAGATTAAAAGGCTTGCACTGAGATAATAGATTATTTCTAAAATGAAACGTATTATATTTAAATTTACAAAATAAAGTTCCTAGAGATACTCAGACAATCTAAGTATTACAGCAGGTGAGGATTCTGCTCTTTTCATTTGAACTGAGATGATGCTTCTAAACTACAGGAAGTCATTTCCAATCACTACGGTGTAACTTTGAACCTTCTGTGAAGTAACTTTATAGCTTCTCTGATAAAAGGAGTTAATGCACGCTGAATGCTTCAAACGTTTAACTGCTACATATTTTATTTAGTCTCCTGGTTATTTTCATTTATCTCATCAGAGGGTCTTATTTGCTTCCAATTTGCAGTACCTCTTAATGGCTCTAAATTCTGGCTGGTTTGTGTTAAATTTTTACTTGATTGCGTAAATTTATGCATTCAAACCTGTCTGTATTTTTAACAGTCTGTGCATTTCTCACATACAGACAGCAATTTTTTTCTTACTCCTTTTACAGTCCAGTACTTACCTTGTTCTGCTGGAAGTTATCAAGTAGTAATGTTTCTCTTCTATCTATAAGTACCTTGTTTCATTTAAGGTGTCTGTATATCTATGGCTTGTTTTATGTGACAGAGTGTGCTTCAGTTTACATAAAGAAGGATTCCTAGGTCCTTGTTTCAAAACTATTTCTTACCAAACTATTTCTTACCATGTCTTCAGGGAACAACTTTCCTCTTTGGTGCTTAATCTTTTCCGTTAGATCTCCATCATCACAATATTCCATCACTATATACAGATGTCCATCAGCTAAATTTTAGATAATTTTAGAATAATTAGTAATTTAATGAACAGGATAATTATATTATCTTTACTATAAAGCTCCAACTACATGCTATATAATTATGAATTACATGTATAATAAATATGTATTATAAACATGTGCTTTGTTTACAACATTTATGATAAACAAAAAAAAAAAAAAAACACTGATCCCCGAAGAGTACGCAACTTATAAATACAGATATTTTAAATTGTTTTATTTACCTTCAAATGATTCCTTATAGGCAACAATATTTGGGTGCTTCATTTTAGCCAAAAGAATAGCTTCCTTCCTAGAGTTCTCTACATCAGATGAAGACTGCAAATGAATGTACATTTATATAAAGGTTACTCTTGTAGATTTTCATATATATACTCGATGGACCTCATTTCTTTTCAGAATCATTCTTCAATTTACTTTTTTTTCGGTTATTTTGAAAAGTCTTTTAGAAACTTGAAAACTCCATCATTTTTAGCACAAGGGGTATTATTAATTAAAGATTTCTTCCTGGGTGTCTTCCTAGTTCAGTTAATGATTTCCTATTTTAACAGCACAGAACTGTGTAACAACTAAACAGCACACGCTGATTTTGGAACAGCTGACAGCTATACTGTGTGAACTCAGCATAAAACCAAGTACCCAGGTATTAGCTTAGTTTCAGCCTCAATAAAGCCAGTGCCTCCCATTTTGCGATTTTTTTGGTTACCTAAATGCAGTGGGTAACCTGAGTAACTGCTTTCCAACAGTAACATAAGGCTAATTTCTTCATCAGGTATGATGAAATCTAGATTCTAGTGAAGTTGATGGGAATCCAGTCAAATACATCAGGGGAACAAGTGTTTAATCCTATCACGTTTTCTGAAACAGAACAGATTCTACTATTATTATGCATATCAAGTCAGACACAGGTGCAGCCCAGCTATACACCATGCAGATGCCTAATAAATTGAACTCTCAGCAAAGGTGTTCAGAGTTTCCAAACTGTATTGAGAGTTATGTTTGTTTTTAAAGTGGATGGGGAGGTGATGTGTGTGTAACACCTACCATAGGAAGTCTTATTTCCTTCATTGCATACTTCTGGTCAGTAATTTTGTGATGAACAAGGAGAGCTCTCCCGAAGGATCCCTCCCCTAATACTTTCAGTACTTCGTATCCTTCCATTCTGTACAAACTTAGGTTCAACGCTTCTTTTCAAACATTACCCTTCACAAGATTATCTTCTAAATTTTGTCACGAACTTGATCCATTTTTTTGACATTTGTTAATACAATCTGCATGAGAAAAAAAATAAGGGCAGAGGATAAATGTGGTACATTGGTACCCACAACTGCTCAGCATTATCATAATATGGTTCTCATCGCTGCTATCATGACTGATGAACGCTTCAGGAAATTCAATTCAAAGCAAATCTTTTTGTTCCCTGTGCTTCCACAGATAATGGCACACAAAACACAGATGCACAATAATGTACACGATAAACTCCAAGCTTTCAGAGACGATTCTCACCCAAACCAGCGAGAAACTGGCTTGTGCAAGGCTGGTGGTGCACACATGCAAGGACCCCTACAACTAGCAGATGCACAGAACGCGTGGTTCCCTTAAGATGTAGGTATTTTCAGCTTTACTATCTATGTTTCAAATATCACTTTGCATACATGACAGCACTCACAGCTTCACGCCTTGATGAATCGTTTTCCAGAGGAGCATCTCAGGGCACCCTGAGGGTTCCCGGTGGTTTCAGTACCTGCGGTCACCGCTTCGCTGCTTGGGTGAGGGGGAACCTGAGCCCCCAGCGGACCCGAAGAGACCCTAGGGGACCCGAGGAGCCCCCAGGGGACCAGGCAGGGCCGCGGCCGGTCCCTGCAGCAGGGCTGGGGCCAGGGCCGGGCGTGAGGGGACGAGCGGCGAAATGGCCGCGGGCGGGCTCTGGGAGAGGCCCCGGCCCCGGTCCCAGCCCCTGAGGCGGAGCCGCCCGGGCAAGGCGGGGCCCGGCCGCGGCGAAGGGGGGGGGGTCGCGGGCTGAGGTGTGGGGTTTTGGGGTCTGCTCTGCGGGGTGTTGGGGTCTGAGGTGCGGGGTGGGACCGGGGAGCTCCTCGGAGCAAGGAGGGGGGCTGAGACCTGAAGTCGGTTGATAATGAGGTGCCCCAAACAGCACCGCCCCCCCCGCTGGTGCCTTCAGAGTCTCCTCGGAGTCTGTTGCATAAAAGCCAAAAGACTAAGAGTGGAGGGAATAAATAAGTAAATGAAAAACTGGACACTGTCTGCTTCAGCAGCACACCCTGCCGTCACGAAGTTCCCTCAGTGTGTGCTTGGATTTCCCTATGTGATCAGGAGAGGTCTCTGAAGAAAATGTAGTGCAACAGCACACATCTAACAAGAACCCAGGCTTGGAATGAGGAGCAATGTGTCTTCTCTGCAAATACAAGGCCCTGCCTGGCTGTAAAAACCGAGCTCTTTTTAGGTCTGAATGCTAAATGTAAAACATTTCACAACATTTTGCTGACAGCTCACTTTCAAAAGTCAACTAAAATAATTTACTAAAATATAATTGACTCAAGTAATCTACCTGGACTTTTCCAAAGCATTTGATGCCATCCCACATGACATCCTTGTCCCTAATTTGGAGAGACGTGGATTTGACAGATGGACCACCTGGTGGGTAAGGAATGGGCTGCATGGTCGCGCTGAGTTGTGGTCAACAGCTTGATGTCCAGGTGGAGACCAATGACAAGTGGCATTCCTCAGGGGTCGGTACTGGGACCAGTGCTGTGCTGGCAACATGGACAGTGGGATCGAGTGTGCCCTCAGCAAGCTTGCTGATGACACCAAGCTGAGTGGTGCAGCTGACACGTTGGAGGGAAGGGATGCCATCTGGAGGGACCTGGACAGGCTTCAGAGGTGGGCCTGTGAACCTGATAAAGTTCAGCAAGGCCAAGTGCAGGGTGCTGCACCTGGGCAAGCACAAATACAGGCTGGGCAGAGAATGGATTGAGAGCAGTCCTGAGGAGAAGGACTTGGGGATTCTGGTGGATGAAAAGCTTGAAATGAGCCAGCAGCATGCACTTGCTGCCCAGAAAGCCAACAATATCCTAGGCTGCATGGAAAGAAGCACAACCATTAGGCCAAAGAAGATGATTGTCACCCTCTATTCCGCTCTCATGAGACCCCACCTGGAATACTGTGTTCAGCTCTAGGGCCCCCGACATAAGAACATGGACCAGAGGGTGATAAAGATGATCTGAGGGCTGGAGCACCTCACCTACAAAAACAGGAGTTCGGGTTACTCAGCCTGAAGAATAGAAGGCTCTGGGGAAACCTTGCAGCAGCCTGCCAGTACCTCAAGGCCTACAGGAAAGCCAGAGAGGGACTCTGTCAGGGAGCGTAGTGATAGGACAAGGAGGAATGGCTTTAAACTAAAAGAGGGGAGATTTAGACTAGATATAAGGAAAGGTTCTTCACCGTGAGGCTGATGAGGCACTGGAACAGGTTACCTAGAGACAATATGGATGTCCCTGGTTGTTCAAGGCCAGGTTTTAAGGGGCTTTGAACAACCTGGTCTAGTGGGAGGTGTCCCTGCTGTGGGGTTGGAACTAGATGATTGTTAATGGCACTTCCACCCCAAACCATTCTCCAAGTCTATGATTCTGATTTTCAGAAATCCAGTCTCAGGACTGTAGACATGTTCCACAATTAGTTTCTAAACCAAAGCCCCAAAACAAAGAACAAATACAACTCAATTGATTAGTTTAATAAATCTACCATATTACAGACCAATGCAAACCAATATTATAACAGTCACGTAGTAATTAGTGTATCAGGCCCCATCTAAAGTAGATTAACTGATCGTGAATAATCCCTTTAGTTGATGGGATTATACTCAGTTTCGTTGAAATACCCCATAAAAATGGATACCGCAGTTCAAGCTAGTTGTACACCTTACTATCTGGTTTCAGTTTTCAAAACTAAATGCTGCTGTAGTAGATACTGCCCTACTGGAATTCCTAAGTTATTTTTGTTCCTTAAACTACAAGTTAGAATATGCAATTCTAAATATTTATAGGAATTGTAACAGGAAAACAGTTGATATTAACATTATATTACAGTCACTGAGATGTGATATGAAGTGTGTTAAATCTAATTCTTAATTCAGTAAATAATGTCAGTCATATTTAACATGATGACCCTGACGTTTATAAGTACCAGAACAGACCAATATATTGCCTTAAGAGTTTGAAAGCACAGAAGAATACACATTTAAAAGTTTAGTGACTCAGTCAAATTTCATCCTAAGCCCTCCCCACAAGTTTTAGATACCACCTCTCTCGAAGCTGCTAAAAACACATAAAAATCCCACCCAGGATTCCTTAAAAGGGATCTAAAGGATCTCTCCCTCCCATGTAGTGTTGGTACTGATTTTTACTCTTCCACTTCAACGTTTTCTTCCTTCAGCTCATTGTTCTGGTTGTGGAGAAGTGCAGCGGCTTTGGGTTCCAGTTCTCCCAGTTGTTCAAACGAAGAGACGCATGAATCTTTATCCTTAGGAGTATCTAAGGACTTGGACATCTTCTCCCGAATGCGTAGGGAATATCGCAAAGGGGTCACGATTTTCAGATCTTTAACGCTGGAGTCAGTTGCCTCATGGTGCATCTTCGCACTTAAGAAAATTAAAATGTTATTTAATACAGGCACACAATAATGCAAACTCATCTAGCAGAAACAGGTCATTACCCCTGTTTAACACTTCCATGTTCCCACAGACAAAGGAAACAGCAAACAAACTCTTTCCTATCCATGCAGTTAAAGCTGGACGTACAACTCTTTTCTTGGCAAAATACATGTATTTTAATCTGGTAAAACTCCTGAGAAGTTTCTAAAGGAAGATTCCCCCCACACACAGAGTTCCATCAGAAAACTACTCTTCCCCTTGTCAGGGACAGCAGACAGCTGCCAGGAGCCCAGCTTCAACACATTCCAAAACTGAGCACAACTTCCTGGAGTCTGTTATCTCAAATGGAACTTTGTAGAAAAGGAGAATTCAACTGTTATCTGTTTTGTCCTAGGATTACCATCCAGATTCTTGCATCAAGAGACAGTTAAGATAATTTTTACATGACAGTTGCATCTTGTTTACTTTCCCTGCACTTTTTGACATATAAACACATTCATATTTGAGAAAGGACAGAATAGAGGCACCAGACTTCTCTTTATGTAGCACAGTGTAGAACAAAGACATTTGATTACCCTGCATTGAGGCATTTCAAAGCCAAGTGTTTCATTTGAATTCAAGGAAACCCACGAATTTATTTTAAAAGACTATCTTTTTTGAAGGAACAAGAAGCAATCCTAAAAACTTAAGTTCTCAAGTTCTTTTAACTCACAGAAGCGATGCCTCCCTGTTTCAAAACGGCCAAACTTACTGTTGCCCCAGGTACTGCAAACTTTCCAGAGTTACCTTCTGTAATCTTACCTGTCCAGGTATGGTGTGGTAGGTGGGTTGCATCTCATTATGTAAGTAGTGTCATTCTTCTTCTCAGGAGAATTAATTGCTTGGGCTAGCTCTTTCACCCCATCTTCATTCTGCTCTTCTGTTTCATGTTTTCCTCTGTTTTTTGTACGTGCTTTCGCTTTGTGCTTCTTGTTCTTTTTTGGCAAGATCTCTCCTTCTGGTTTCAAGTCTATTTCTTCTTCTATTTCTTCTTTTTTGATCACTTCATTGCCAGTCTCTGCCTTCTTATCATCACTCTCCGCTTTCTGGTCATCAGAGTTGAGACTCTTGAAGGTCTCCCGAACCTGCTCGAGAGATGAATTGGGTTCCTCGCTGACCTCCTCTGCCTCTATCTGAGCTTCTATCTTGCTGACCTCCTCTGCTTCTGTCTGAGCTTCTATCACAGCACTCCCTGAAAATAAAATATGGAAGAAAGTACAGCTGTGAGTAGTTACAACTAAAGAGAAGGTAATATTTTTAGGGAGATCTCTGTATCCTTAAAGTTTTACAGAAGAATGAAAGTAACCAATGCTATGCCGTAGCAAGACTGAGCATCTGCTATTGAAACAGCTTGCACAAAGAAGCAACTGACTTTTAGCTCACAATATTTTTTTTTAATTTACTATTTGATACTCAAGCTAAAAAGGCTGCACAGTGTTGATTTGAGAGAGCTTAAGCAGGAAGTTTGAATATGAAAGCATCTCCACTACCCATCTTAACATGCCTACAGTCAAAAGGGATGATTTTAGACAAGGTTGTTTTCATATTAAGTACAGAATGATCACAGAGAAGCTTCCATAAAAGAATCTGATATAAGCATAAATAGTGTAAGCGGTTAATTTGTGTTGCCAGTCAAGCCAGGCATTTAGCTACAATAAAATACTGAAACTTACCATCCTCACACTTAATCAGGCTTTCAGTATTTTTCATAATATCTATTAGCATGCGTCGTAGTTCATCTTTAGGCTGGAAAAAGAAGTTTCATTTTAGAAAACAGTTCCAAATTTATTTACTATTTCAACTTACTTGGTTTAAGTTAAAGTGGTGCATCCTACACAATGTTCAAAATCCTGTAATGCTATTCAAACATAACTCAGAACAAAAATTAATCCTGTATTTTCTGTATTGGGTGCCCTAAAGCTGTATTTGATGCCCTGATATCTTGCTGGTAATAAAGCAAAGGAACTAAGCTGATCAACAATGTAAAATTAAGTTCTGTTCGGGGTTCCTAGTAATACCAGAAGTCTCAATCCTTTATTTCTTTAGGCAGAACATCATAAGATACTTTAACGATCCTAAACCTTTCTTCTTGAAAGCAGTTAAGATCTACAGTTACAGAGCAAACCAAATTGAAATCTGTGCATTCAGATGGGTCAGATGACTTCCTTATCATACAAGCATTTATTAAAATCAGAAGTACCTGTATTTTACATGCTCTATACTTTCACGCCTTTTTGTTTGTTAATCTCAGACTACATGACAAGTTACTCACCATTGCTCCTGCCAAAATAGCCTCCTCATAGACAGCAACAAGCTTTTCAGGAGGGCCTGTCCGTTCAAGATGCATCCAGCAGATCCAGTATTTTGCAAGCTTTTTAGCCCCAGGAGTGCTCTGTATCAGATCTTGCAACATGGCACGGACTTTATCACCTTCACATCCCTAAAAGCGACATGACAGAAGAGAATCAATCACAGTGAACATCCCTAGGTCAAAACTGGATAAAACACAGTGCCTAAATAGTTGTGTTTTTTTTTCAAGAGCGACCCTGAAAGTTGAAGATAACAAGCTTTACAAGACTGAACCATGAACCTGAGCACAACTGTCATTCAGCTATTCTTCTGGATGAGAACTATTTATACCATCCCTTTTACATCCAATGCTGACTAGTCCATAGATAGTTTCAGAACTACTTTAAAAAGACTTTCAGAATCCAGACAAGTTTGTGCAAATGCAAACATGTTTCAGATGACTTACTTCATAGCCACTCTCATTACTTAATATCTCTTCTAATTTATTATTTTACCGTTATTGCCTCATCTCATTGGTAGTTCAATGCGTTAGTGAAGTTGAGCAACAACTGTTTGTTGTTTTTTTCATTTGTCAGCAAAAACTATGATCTTGCTTAATTTGGGGAGCAATTAACCCCCCGCATCTGATTCACAGGTCCATCATCCCGTCCATAGGATTTTCATGCTGCAGGGGCCTATGCAAATAGAATTGGTAGGCAAGAGATTGAACACCTGCTCAGATAACTGCAGACATTCCGCAAGAGTCTTGTTGACTTTTTCACTGTGTAACACGTGATCTAAGGAACCGCCAGCAGAAGAAAATTCCTGTTCTTCACTCTTAAGCCGGGTTTCCAGAACCACGGATATAGGTGGCCTCTTCATCACTTTTCCTCTGGATGCCCTCCATTCAGCCAGGCGAATTCTGCATTTAAGAACATTATTAGTGATAGTGAAACAGAAATTAGATTTTTGCATTAACTGACATTAATTGGGTAAGTCACACAAAGACATACTTTGTGGGGAGTATCCAGGTGGTCCTCTAATCCTCCCCCTTTAATTCTAAGGGGCATCCTAAGAGGCATATTGTTGCCATTTAGGTCTTGCACAGAAATTTCCGAACCATGCACATCACCCCACCTGCTTTAGGTATCTGACAAGTCAGGATTCTTTCATCTCTCCCTTTTCAGCAGCAGCAAGAGTCTTAGGCTATAGACCCTGATTTTCTAGAGGGTAAAAACCACCCCTGATTCATTGGTCTGTCGCCTCTCTTCTGTAATCTCCATCACCCAGTTCAGAGCAGAAAAACTAGAACAAGACTCTCTCTAAAGACACAAAGCATTGAGACCAGCATAAGATGACCCTGTCACACAGCCTATAAAACCTGAAAGTCGTGCATAAGTGTAATTCAGTTCATAGAAGTTTCATTTCAACCCCATCACCCTACGATCAGAGGCTTTTGGTAAATGCAACTATTTCCAAGGAGCTCTACGAAGAACACCGAATAACTTCTAAATTTAGGACTCTTTACTCTGTCATCTAGGCAGCATTCACCAAGCTGAAAAATATTTCATTGGAAAGTGCTCTCCTTGAGTTCACAGCCACTCTCACTTCTATATACATCTTGCAGCATTTTTTATTTTTAAAAGCACTGCTGTGCATGGGCAATTAATTTACAGAAGCATCCATCATGCTCAAGATTGTCAGAACAGTTTGCCTAAAAACCAGAGTGCAAACAATATAGAACTTTCTAACTGCATAGATACAAGCCGTAAGCCTGGAGAGCTGCTGCAATTAGTCTGTATCCTAATTTCACACTATTAAGTCTACAGTTCTAGTCTGCTACCTTTCAGCATCAAGTTCAAACACTCAGTTATTAATTTTCAGTGCATCTACAGCAAGAAGTAATTTATTTATTTCTTCACTGAAAATTAAGAAGTTCTTGGAAAGCAGGTGTGAACACCTCACGAGATCAAGCTGTAACAGTGACTAATCCAGTTACCTTCTCTCTTCTGCTGACTCTTTCAGCAAAACAGATTTCCTGTTGCCATTAATTTTAGAATCCTGTCCTGTCTTCATGCCAGGAAGAATTGAAACTGCCTTTGCTGGGGCTTCTGGTTTTGCATCTTCACAGCGATCCACAGGTTTCTTCACTCCTCCTACTCCACGGTCAGAACTGTTCGAAGCAGCCTTCAGTGGCTGTGGTCCCCTTCCAATCGTTTTTTGGGTCGTTCCTTTCTTTGGTACTACACCATTAGGTTTCACAGAATTAGAATAATTTGTGACTTTGATGGTCTTCAGAACTACATTGCAGTTGCTTGTGGACAAAGCTTTCACTGCTGGTTTGGTGGTAGAAGTAACAATCTTCTTGTCTGGCAAAGAACTCTTTTCCCCTTCACTTTTTGGTGCTTTTCGGAAGGAGTTTATCTTGGATTGGATAACTTTGCCACGATACGTACCAAGCACCGGTTTCTTTGTTAGGCTGACATTTGAATTCTGCTTTTCTGCAATCAGTTGCTTCTCTTTTATGCTTTTTATATACAAGAAGGATTTGGTAAGTGTTACGTGCTGTGATTTTATTTCAGTGACTTTATCCTTGGAAGTAAGATCTTCAGCGTTATAGCTTGTCCCGGATGCCAGTGTTATCACAGAAGATTTTAAAACAACATTTTCTTCTGAAGTTGTACTTGATTGGTCCCATGAAAGTTTATTAGCATTCTCTTTATCCTCCTGAAGAAGTGAAAAGCACATCCACAGAGATGTTAGATGCATGTTCATGCTGCATGTTATTTATGTTTCTAAGAGACTTTCACTTGCTTACAGGAATAGAGTATTTAGCAGTAAATGCCAATGTAAAGGAGGCAGTATTTATACAATTAGTGTATACATGCACACCAAAGTAGAACATTTGTCAACTATTATTCCAGAATTCACAACCCAAAATCAAATAAGGATTCTTTTGAAGTCTGCTTGGGAGTAAGGGGGCCCAACCCAAGGGCTAAACTCTTCTTACAGAAAGAGAATTCCTTTAAAGTAACTGTCAGCTTTTAACTGCCAAAACTGCCTTCCAAGAGAGTGATAAGCTATGAACGAATATCTCAGTTTGAATAACGCAGCACCATTCCTCCCCTTAGCATGGATAGCTGACTGACACCAAGTAGTAAGTAAAACCTTTAACTAGGTCACTAGGACATGCTACCAAAGGAGGGAGAATTTGTTACGTTGAGATGTAGGATGCTGGGGATAAAAATGGACGCTTGAGTTTTACACCTCATAACCTCTAGCAGGGAGAATGTGAAATGGGATCTGGTCTCTTCCTCCAAAGAAATTACTCTACAGCAACTAATACAGCATTGTCCAAAGGGAAGCTTATGGCATAGTGAAAGATTCAAAAGCAAGGGAAAAAAAAAAACAAACACAAACAACATGAATAGCACACAGAAGTCTACAGAAGCTGTTATTCTTTAATGAAATATCCTTGACTGTAAGAACTGTTCTGCATCTCATTCTCCGATCGGTCATTCAGGATTAGAAGTTGAGGCTTGGCCAGGCCAGTAACTAGCTCTCAAATACAAGTGCTGCTATTTATTTATTTTATACTACATGAAATCCCTGTAATTTCAGTCATGTTTAAAAATCACAACACATTAAAATGGACCAAAATACCCCTCTTCAAGAAATTTCTAAAAAACATTCACACTTTGGAAAGTGCTCACATTTGAAATTTTTTCCAACACTCAGTTTTGAGATTTTAAGCTTTTTGCTTTTCTCTTCAAATAATGGTAGGTTTCTCAAGTCTTTCAGATGCCAAACTGAAAACAATCTAACACGAATACTGGCTTTGTCGAGTTTCATTTTGCCCTTCTCATGATAACAGGTCTGGAGAAGAATCTGCTATTTCTAGCAGCACAACCACATACACCTTAATTCTGGAAAACTTAAACAAAATGATATCTAATGTGCACTCACATTAGGTATTCAGCATCTACTTCTGACTGCATTAAATTTGCCAGCATTACAACTGACAAACCACGTGTTTAACAGTATTTTGTTTTTTGTTTGTTTTTAAAGTAACCAAGCATACTATATGAATCATCTGCTGGCAGAAGATTTTGCTCAGATTTTACATAACATCCCTGAAGGCTGAAAATATATATGAAAAATTCCAAGAGTCCCAAGAAAAGGTGACAAAATTGAATCATTACTGGCAATAATCCCTCCTCCGGTCAGGTACAAACTGAATACCAGAACGATCCATTACATGCAGCCCCATGGCAGCTCTCTAAAAAGCAAATATTAAGCTGTCACTGAATAAAGTCTTAACTAAATGCACCTCTGCACATGCAAAACTTTCATGTTCTGGAAGTCAGATATCTTAAATGTGGTTTAAGCGAATGGAATGTTGCAGCCACAGAAACAGAGAACCATCAGTATTTGAGTATCAAAGACTTACCATTTCTGGCTTTGGAGATGCTGACAGGTTTTTGTCTTGCAGTTTATTGCTGACTGCTCGCCTAGTTCCGCTACTGCTTAAAAAACAAAAAATAAAACTTAAACCATCCTGCAGTGTAACAGAAGAATGTATTTTTTAAGTAAGTTCGTGTGGTCTAGAAGGCAGTCTACAGGTAAAGCATTTCTGTTCAGAACGTGCTTATCCCTCAGAAAAGACAAATGCTAAGTGAGCACCGGTCATGGCTCAGATTACAAAACATCCCCTTGTGCACCACAGAGAGCTGGCTAACCGAGGCAGGGAAGGAAAGATAACAGACCACATTTACTGCAGGTGCCATTCACATGTTTAGGGATGAGCACCAATCTGTGTGGCATGATGCATCTGCTACAGAAGGTCAAATTCCCTGCTGCAGTTGAAATGGAGGAACAGTTGCCTGCAGATTGAAGCTCAGCTACTGCAATTAAGAGGCCAGGCCATTTGAGTTGAGTCTGAATAAAGATACGTCAACATAGATGGCCAGTCTACACTGTGGAACAGTAACAGCCTCAAGAAAGGGAAATAAGTGCAAAATAAAAGCATTAGTCATAGTCACAAGCACGATGGCTCTGAACAATGAGTTAACTGAAAGCTATGAAAAACCCTGGAGCTTCATAGCTAGAGAAGAAACGGAAAGCAAGGAAAAGTAGTAAAGTAGATCAAACTACACCAAAATGATTGGCACAATTGAAGTAGTTAGCACTGGTTTTCTAAAGCAAGACAGTTTTTTACAACATTGAAACACTTGCCTTTTCCAGCTACATGGAGCAGGTATTTGACAGATGATATTTATCCTTGCCATTTATGTGTATTTTATATTCAAAGGTTAGTTATATCATATTATATAATACTATCAAGAAGTTCTGTGTGCTGTTGAACACCATGGGACCTTAACACTTCAAGCACACAAAATGGTGAACAACACTTTCCATTTAGAGAGGAATACATTTTGAAATTAAATTTACCACTTGCAAAAATATTGATGTGACAGAGCTACACCATAAAGTACTGTTGGAGCTAGAATCCTCTGTACTTCACAACACTGTCTTCTCTAAAGAAGCTTTTCTTTCTTATTGGGAGGTCTTATAACAAATGTCCCAGCTTCAGTAAACAAGATTAAATATAATAACAATATAACAAGTCAATAACAAGTTAAGAAGTGCTAATTCTGGATGATAGGTGTCTGCATTCTGTGTATAGAAAGTTGTGGCTGTCTACTGGCCAACACACAGCCTGGGTTCTATTACAACAATATTTTCTGCTAAGAGCAAATGTAAAGTAGTAGCTACAAAATATACTGAAACTAGATCAACTGGATTGTGAACACATGCTGCATAACCTGAGTAGAAAAAGAGAAAAAAGGTGTTTGTAGAAGGTAGGTTGTAGAGGAAAATAGTAAATTGGCATCTGAAATAAGACATCTGCCATGCAGGTGTCCTGTTCTGTCTTAGTCTCCAGTGGAGCAAGTGACACACTTCCCAGGTTGCATCTATTAGGACAATGCATTTGTTTAACAAAACCTGTCAGCACTTGCTGCCAATAAAAGGACTTTCAGCAATCCAGGTGTTCACCAGTATTGTTACATGGTCTCACCTTTTGATTGAGCTTTGTCATAACAACAGCTGTTCACACCTTTCCCACCAACCACACCACCTCCTAAAGGAACAGACGCTACACCAGACAGTAACAGTACCTGATCGGTGCCTTGTTTTCTTGAATGGGCACGCCAGAAAAAGACTTTTTTCTTGACAGATATTCTTCAACTTTTTGTCTTCTCTGTTCTAGTGGGTTTAAAAAGAAATTGTATTACATTCTAGTACGTTTTCATCTACAGTGGTAATGCCTCTTCGAAAACTGGAAGAGATACGAAAATGCATAGTTAAGAAAGCATCAAAATATTATAAAAACAGACACTGTGGATTAAAGAAGTCTTTGGTTTAATACTCACGTTATGATGTCTCAAACATTCTCTCATTTCTTGAGAAAGGCTACCTTCAAGAGGCAATGGAATTTAATTTCAAAGCGATACAGAATGACTGTTTTGCTGCATTAGCTACTAAGCTAAAAGAAACCTGATTTTTGTAATGGGAAAACAAGAGGCCTTTTCATTTTTTCGGAATGCTTGTCCATACCACACCACTCACACACCTGCTGCTGGTTCAGCATGCCCACTTTTCACAATAATAAGTTAACAGATGTGAAAGACGCACACATGAACCCATCTGACCAGCTGTAAAATCACTTCTCTTACAGACCAAGAATGGGAGTTAATTACAGCGTAAAATGATCTTGAAAAGGCCTTAAGCCAGCCCCCACTGTCTTAATGCAGAACGTCATCCCAGAACAAGATGCTATTTCCCGTCTTCTTGCTGGTTGACTACAGAACAGACTGTCAGCCCTTCACAGGTCTACATCGCTGATCTGTACATTTTAGAGCCCCTATCTCCACACATGACCTTGGCTTGCTGGAAGCAGCTGGGATAGGATGATCCTGCCCAAAGCAGAACAGAAGCACCCACACTGTCAGTCTGGATGTTTCATGCTTCAGAAATCTCCATCAACATGCTCCCTCAGCACTGTGACATTTCTGTGTTACTGAAGTTCAGACAGTAAAAATTGTTAAAATATTGTCTTTGAGACCCCAATGTTAACCCTGTAAGGCAAGAAAAGAATTAAGCACTCAGTTGAGCACTCTGGGGTTTCAAAATAATAATAAAAAATTGTCATCCCACAGAACGTGGTAATTGTCCTCAGAGCCTCCTCCTAGCATGGGAGAGCTGAAAAGGGCAAGTTTTCTCATGCCCTGACACACCAAAGCCTGAAACACACAGCCAGTAGAACAGACTGAGACCTAGGTGTCTAAGTTAGGAAGAAGAAAAGGAGCTTGCAGAGGCAAGTCCTGCAGAGATGTCTCTGTCAAGAATGTGTGTAGACATGCGTGAAGGCTGCCACAGCAAGCATTCTGCTTCTTAATTTCAGGTTAATTTCAGATGGAGAGCAATGTACTATTTGTAACTGAGCATTTGCATTAGGATTCAGCTTCTGTTTGCCTCATAATAAGCCTAAAGCCGTTTCCATTGCTTTTACCCTTTAAAAGAATATTTAAGATTAATTAAAGCCTGCAGCCTTTTTTCAAGAAGTGTTCTTCTGTTAATGCCCTGCATTAAAGAACAGTACAGAAAAATACAAAGCAGCAAGTAATTTGAACAAATACTTAAAAGACTGTTTACATGCTTAGTGCAGTGGGATGTGCAAGGTGCCCCTCCTGGAGCTCAGGCTGTGCTTTTGCAAAGTGAATTGTGCCTGGACATGACGTACACCTCCCTCAGGAAGAGGCACTGATCCTAGCGTGCCACCTACCTCCTCCATCTGCCACAGGGAGAGCCACAGAACCACCTAGGCTGGAAGAGACCTCCAGGATCACCGAGTCCAACCTCTGACCTAATACTAACCAGTCCCTCGCTAAACCATATCCCTAAGCTCTACATCTAAACGTCTTTTAAAGACCTCCAGGGATGGTGACTCCACCACTTCCCTGGGCAGCCCATTCCAATACCTCACAACCGTTTAGGTAAAGAAGTTCTTGCTAACATCCAACCTAAACCTCCTCTGGCACAGCTTTAGCCCATTCCCCTTTATCCTGTCACCAGGTACGTGGGAGAACAGGCCAATCCCCACCTCACTACAGCCTCCTTTAAGGTATCTGTAGAGAGCAAGAAGGCCACCCCGAGCCTCCTCTTCTCCAGGCAGAACAACGCCAAAACCTTACACATATTTCCCTGACAGGGCAAGAAGCTGCCGTGAGGAACCACCACCGCCTGGGCACCGCCAAGCAGCCCTCACACCTCCACCTCCCCGCGAGGAGAAACACCCCGAGCCCCACAAGAAACAAAAAAAAAAAACAGAGCACCCCAGGCACATAGAGGAAGGAATCAACCCCTGAGAGCTGCACTTCTCCCTCAGCCTTACCTCGGAAGGCGGGCTCTGCCCTGCGGCTGGGGGGAAGCCGTGCCGCCATGGCCGCCGCGCCGTTTGAACCGCCCGCCGCGGGGCTTGAACGCGCCAATGGCCGCCCGCCCCTCCCGCCGCCGCCCTAAGATGGCGGCCGCCGCCCAAGCCGCCGCCAGGGGGAGCTGCGCCACCGCCCTCCTAAAATGGCGGCCGCGCCTCAGGGCGCCGTTAGGGGGTGCTATGTGAAGGGCGGCCCCGCTCGCTCGGTTCTCCGCTTGGGCTGATCCCCGGCAGGCTCCCCTCGGGAGGGGAAGGGAGTTTTGGCCGCCATGGATCGGTTCTGCTGGAGCAGCGAGCTGCTGGAGCTGGGGGAGACGCTGGTGGTGCAGCAGCGCGGCGTGCGCCTCTACGACGGGGAGGAGAAGGTGATGGAGGCGGCCCGGCCCCGGGCACCCGGCCGTGGGGAGGCCGAGCCCGGGGGGTGCGGGCACCGGCGGGGCTCGGAGCTTTCAGGAGCCCCTCAGGGTTGGGGTGTGGGGCTGTGGGACTACAGGCGTCTGGGAGAGACTCACAGTGTACCCATATTTTTCCCAAATACTGATTTCCTACTGATAAATACAATCACTTCTCGACAATAAAACAGGAAGAAATGCTCCTAAATGGTAGGCCAGAGGATTTCAGGCCGGCCCTAGCTTGTTCTTACTAGGTTGTTTTTGTTTTTGCAGAGCTTCTGCTGTCTCTGTCAGCAAATAGTGTTCCAAAGCCAACAGCCCTTTTAAAAATACGATAATTGGGGATGTTTGTATATCTTGCATGGCATATGGAGGGAGGATCCTTCAGGATTTCCGGGGGGAAAGTTTATGCAGTTGGAAAAGGAAGCTTGTGTATATTCATATACTCCCTTTATACTACTTTTTTCTATTTTTTCCATTAACATAATTTATTATGTTTTCTGGGAAAAAAAAAAGTGTTCTCAAAATAATGGCTTGTTGTATCTGATTCTGATGTTGTCCTAATGTGTAATGTTTCCAAGTTCATTGTTTATGCAATGTAGTGGTTAAAAATGTTTTTGACCTGTTTTATTTTTCTTGTTTAGGTGAAATTTGAGAGTGGAGTATTACTGCTTAGTACACACAGACTGCTTTGGAGGGATCAGAAGAACCATGTAAGTCCCACTGTTGTCTCTTGCATGTCAATTAATTGTGAATTTCATAATAAGCAACTGGTAGCTTGCAATGAAAAAACACCACAAACAAATTTTTGTACCTTCTGTGTATGTTTTATCTTACACATATAGTCCATTTTTTGGTTCGCAGCGGAAAGACAGTTATGTACCAGGAATGTTCTTTCACCCACTGCTGCTTTAATTAAATTGCATGCAGAGATGAGGAGGGGTGGAAATAAGTCATATAACTTTTTCTTCTTTAATGGCACACAAATAGAGTAGAAGAATCTTGCACTGTGTACTAGAAATTGTTGGTTTTGATAATGAAGGTGAAAATGTCACGCAGAATGCTTCTCCCATGCTCTTGGTCTAGCAAGGCCCTTTTTTCCTCACTGCATTTCCAAGTCCAAGGTTTCCTGTCTTCTGGTCCCAGCAGATAGTTCCAGACCATGGTTTGATGATGGGAATTATTTGGTGGCAGTATTAGTTTGTACAGGTCTTATCTTTCCAACTGCCTCTTGTTGTGCTGAACCATCTATTCAATAATCCAACACATCTGTCTGTACTTCTATGGAGAATCGATTCAGAGGTTAAGTGGCAGTGTTAGAACTTCAGTGTAATACTGCTCTTGGATGCTTTGTATCATCAAGGCACAGCCTGAGTTTCTAGGCTAGAAACGGGTATGAAAAAACACAGGCAAGTAAGAAGCTCTAAGCATAGACTGAAACAACGTATACCACCTTACAGCTTCAGTTGAAGAAGTCCTTCTCAGAACCAGCTTGAATTATGTTTGTCTTGGACGCGGTCTTTTAGAAACTTTAGCCACGAAAGCCAAAATCTAGACAGAGCATGCACAGATGAGAACTTTTCAAATGTGTGTTATACTCCGGTGAACTACCTTTTGGCAAGAGTTGCTGTAGTGCCTCTGCACTCAAAGAAGGTAGGGCCATTCCTTACCAGTTATCACATCCTTGCTCCAGAGCAGGGAGCTACCAGAGCCTTCTACACATGTGGTCACCAAGCATGTTCTGAATTTTGGCAGAGTAACATTTTTTTCCCCTGCAGGGATTGTTTGCAGGAAAAGCAGACCTATTTATAATTGAAATTTTTCAAAATGCGTTATTTTGAGACCTTGTATCCAGGTTGGTATTACTGTTAAGCAAGTCAGGGGTTGATTGTCTGGGTCGTGAGCTATTTTTTAAACAATAGCTAAATAAATTAATGTGTTTCTTTGGAGCAGTCAGTGTGAGTTAATATACCTGTTTTAAACTATCTATTCACCCCTTATTTCTTCATTAGCATCTTTCTGTGACAAGTGGGCATGCAGGGGGATTTTATTTTTAAAATAAAATCTATGGTACATGAATAATTTTGTTAATGTGGTAAATGAAGCTGATTCTTTCTTAAGCTTTTAGGAGTGAAATGTGTAGCACAATGCCCTTTTATTTTCATGGTGAATTGTTGGCTAAGCTCCACTGTGATACATCAGCCTGAGAAACCTTAGCTAGCTTACTGAGAATAAATTTGTAGAGAGTCCCTTCTTACTGTATCAACAATCTACTAATAAATGGGGGCTGCTTCTTGTTAGGTTGACATTGCACAAATTTTTATAAAAACACCTGTGTTTTATAGCTGCTGTTGTTACATGCCATCTACAGTTGAAAAGTATAGAAAAAAAGTGACTTCCAAAGGAAAAATTATGTAGTTCTTTTAAGTTTGTTACATAGCCAGCTTTGCACAGCACTACCAATCATAAAATCATAACGTCAACACTGGATGTTATTGTATCCAAATAACTCTTATTTCATCCATCCACGGCATTTTTAACTCACCTCTCATGTAGTATTGCTTCTTGGGAAGAGGGACACTGGGAAGGAAGGGGTGATTCTAAGTCCTTGTATTAGAGTAAGCTTTTAACTTTCTGGCTGTGAACTAAATGAGTGAATCACTTTAAAAACAGAGGTATTATATGTAATCGGTCTCTTTTTCAGAAACTTATTTTGTTACAGAAGTGTTTTTTTGCCTATATTTAAAGTATCTGGAGTTATGTGTTCATTTTACAAATTGCCATACTAGTGGCTAACTCTGGAGCCAGAGAAGAATCTAAATATTAGCTAATATCTAAATATTAAGAGTTGCTATAATAGGAAGTACAACCCATGTTTTTTTTCCCAGTGAGATTTACTCATTAGGAGGAGTTCCTGCATGTATACTTTCCTAAGCTCCAATTTAATGTGCATTTAATTGTTCCATGCAAAGAACAATTTTGGTAGTAGGGATTGAGAGGACCCCATAACAGTGTTTATTATAACCTAGTGTTAGGGACAGTCATGTGGCAGATGGAAGAGAGACTGAAAGAGGGAATGCAACCCATGTTTCTGGCATTCTGAGTGGCTGTCAATTACCAAGCTGTCCTGTGAAAGAAGACATTCATCAAAGAATATTCACCAAAACAGGACCAGGCACATCATTAGATTCTTTGAATTGCTCCCTTGAGCAACTTCTGTCTCAAAAACATGTAAGAAAAGTTTAGCCTGGCTAGGTTGGTCTCCCACAGGTGGTTACAGTCTTGTTTCTTGCTCTGCTTTGTTTTGTCTAAAGCACAGCTCAATAAATATGTGTTGAGACTAAGTTTGTGAGGATGGGGTAGATGGAGACATTCCTAACTGGTGTATCACCACTCAAAGGGTAATCTAGCTTTTAGACATTCAGCACTGAGAAGACTGATGGGTTTGGCTAGCATTTTGGCTCCCAAAGTAACATGAGTGCAAATGTTTTGAGCACCTGTGAGGACTGTGCAACAACATGGATAAGCCACCATCGTGTGGAAATTTTAGTGTTTAAAATTTGAACTCCGACACTGAAATTTTGCTAGATTTCTGAGGCTTTTATAAATCTAGCCAGAAATGTCTAAAATCATTTACACTTAAATTTATTTTGGTCATCTAGAACTTTGCTTCCAGTTTACATTTTTTTCTATTTATATTTCTCCTTAACAGGTAGTTTTTGTTCTTACCAACATACTTCATCTGGTGTGTCTCTGGCAGCACTTGCAAAAGTCTGTACTGTTTGTGAAATGGGAGAACGCTTCATTTAAGGGAATGAATAGTCAGGATATGGCTTTGATTTCTCTTGTGTTTGCATTGATTATTCTAGGAATGCTGCATTGCTATACCTCTGTCTCAGGTCGTCTTTATTGAAGAGCAAGCAGCTGGGATAGGAAAAAGGTAAGGTGATAAACATTCTGTTTTTTCTCAGTTGAGCTATTAGTCATATATGTTACATAGTAATGCATGGTAGGTTCCATTTTTAACCCAAGTTTACAGATTGACAGCCACTCACTTCAAATGCATAAGAAAGTGATGACAAAGCAGCATTTGATAGAAGTTGTTAAATAACGGTCTTGTAATCCCTGAAGTAGGTATTCTACCTTGCTGTTTCATTTGAGTAGTCATCAACGTCACAGTGATGTTGCTGAATCTAAATTTGAAAGCTAAGTTTAGTCATTTATACCACAGAACTGGTTGGGGATAGCAACCCTGTCAGATCCCGTACTATATAACTTTACATGACCATAGGATTGATTTTGAGCTTGGAGCTGCTAGGGATGGTTAGAAGGAATTAGTGTTTCCCCTCAGTTGGGTAACTAATTCAGTATGTTATGTGTGTGAAGAAGTTTTGCAAGAAAAAGATTAACTGGAGAAATTATGTAGCTGATACCTGCTTGCAGCCAGATGAATAGATGCAGTCAGATAAATAGAATATGATAATATCCAGGGGGTACCCTGAGCAGATCAGGTAATTTACTTATGCCAGAGAAGTCAAATAAAGACCTACAAAAAAAGGCTGTAAAATTAAATTGGAATGGCAGACGTGCAGCCATGCTGTGACAGTGGCCTAGTATATTCCTAAAATAATACTATCTCAAGGTTTGTTTTGGTGATAAATGTCATTTTAGACTGTTATTCCCATGCACATTAGCTTTGAATGTTGGTTTTGGACAAATTCACATAAGGTGTTTGCAAGTGGAGTATACAAGCTAGGCAGATTAAACATAATATTGAGACCTTCCATTTTCCTGTGACAATGATAGTTTATTTTGGCAGTAATTATTGCAAGGCAAAAGCCAAATCAAATGCACTGCTTGATAATTAGTTTTTACCTTAAATAACATTGTCAGAAATTCTTGTTTGCAATCTGAAGATCTGCTGCATTTAATTCTTGAGAATTGATGGTGTCCACATTTAAAATTTGTGAAATGTTGCTTTAGAGGCTACAGGAGTTTTTATGCAAGGTATTTAAATGAGGCAAAATATTTAAATGTTGATGCGCAAATGTAAAGCAGAATTTGACGTCCATCAATTCGTACGTGAGATAAAGCTGGTACAGATTTTGATTAAATGGTTAACTTACTAATTATAGAAAAAGGTGGTTTTTGTTTTTTTTTTTTAATAGAAAAAGCTGCTTATTCTCTTAACTTTTTTTTTTTTAGTGCCAAAATAGTAGTTCATCTTCATCCTGCTTCCTCAAACAAAGAGCCTGGTCCGTTCCAAAGCAGCAAATATTCCTACATCAAACTTTCTTTCAAAGAACATGGGCAGATCGAGGTAAGGTTTGTAGCACACAAGCCCTGTACATCAGATCTTTGGACGTGCCTTTATCCTCTTGCTGTGTTAGTGATAATTTTCCATGATCTTTCCATGTTGACTTTTGAGGTGGAGCTTTCTCAATACATCCTTTTTGAAGACAAACACTATGAGCCTTCAGGGTTCTATGCTTTGGTTAAATAACACAAATAGAGTTCCAAAAATGTCAGGAGGTACTGTTAGGCTTCATCCTTACTTTAATAGTTTTAATAAAATCCTATACTTCCTATATTATTTTTTAATTTGAACACAATATTTTCCAAAATGATGGCTCTACCATGTTTAACAGAGTCAAAGATGCTTCTTTTTACCTAACACTCTACTGAATAGGAACCAAGCAACTTAATCATCTCTCTTACTTTATTGCTGTAAGATTTTGGTTGCCTCATAGCTTTGTTTCATTTTGTTATTTATTTTTTTTACCTACACCTAATCTCAAACGCTTTTAGCATTCTGAAAAACAATATAATAGACATTAAAAAGTATTTTCCTTTTTTTAAAAAAAGGAATTGTCCTCTGTAAAGAAATTTCACAATATAGGATCCTCACTCAAGACAAGATTTTGACTTGGAAAGGTGAAAAAAAACCCATACAATTTTGCTGCAGAAAATGAGTTAAGTTGAATTAGTTGTAAAGGTCTTGTAAATGCATTTGCTTCATCAGACTTGCTTTTATTTCTTTGTGATCAGGCTCCAACTTAGGACAAGTGTGGATTTATGCATAATTTGAATTGCATAGGTGTTTTGCCTAATCAAAATTTTATTTTAATGTGAATGTTCTTATTTGAAGATGGTGACCTAGCATACCAGTAGCAGTCTTTTCTTTATGACTTCAGAATACCTTCCTGTGAACTTTGAACAACTATAAGATCAGACTTTCCTCTAGATTTTGCTCAGTGGTCAGCACTGACAGTTCAGCTAATCAACTAATGCCTCCTGGTAGTATTAACATCAAACAAATAACTAGGTATATCAGTTACACCTGACTTCATACTATTAAGTTAACAGATCAATAAAAATTGGATTGATTAGCTTTCCTTCCTTTTCAAAGTAGGCCTTTGAGAAAACATTGTCATTTTTAGCTTTAGTGTGTTTTGGAACACTTTGAATATCTGAAAAAGTATTTTACAAGGGAAGTACTCATGGAAGTTTGTAACTGCAATAGGAACTGCACCTTTCCTTTCCAGTTTTCAAGAATTCACTGTAATGTTGTAGTGCAGATGTGCAGGTGTTAGTATACTTTGTCTTACTGTGAAATTTGATTCATCTGGAAGACAAATCAAGATGCTAAAATACCCAGACGTACTCTGCATAGTTCGTGAAACATCTGTTGTCATTCTTCAATGTTTGCAGTTCTATAGACGATTCTCAGAAGAAATCACCCAAAGGAGATGGGAGAACATACCTACTGGTCAGACCTTTCAGGTTGCCAAGGGTCCACAGGTATGTGCAGAGCTCCTAACATACTTCTGCATGTCACATGTCAATTTGTTTAGTTTGAAATTGTTATCTGCATGTAATCTTGTTTCCAGTTAATGCCACCCCCATATACTGCACCTGTCAAATACAGGATATAAAAAATATATGTAATTGTTTGGAACCTGTGATTTAAACAAATTCATATTCTAATTTGACAATCGTTATTACGGAGAATCTCTGTCATATATTAGATTGCCTTTTTTAAGTTGTCTGCATATTTATAGGTTAAAAACTGATAAACGTGGATGTTTTTTCTATATATGAGTAAGCTGTATGTATGAATACATAGCATATATAGTAGTATGGATGAAATAGGATGATTTAGTGATTGCTCAATGTCAAATCATGTATGTCCTCCTCTGTAAATATAGTGTCTGTCAACACAGTTTCCTCATCCATGGAAGAGCTGAAGGCCAGGTTTGATGCTGCTTTGAGCAGCCTGGTCTGGTGGGAGGTGTGGCAGGGGGTTGGAACTCAATGGTCTTTAAGGTCCCTTCCAACTCAAACAATCCTGTGATTCTGTGATTGTCACATTTCATAGACTGATGGGGAAGCTTGTACCCCCTGCCACAAATCACATCATGAAAATGCCTTGCTTTCTCTTCTTGCTGGGTAACAGCAAGTCATTAACGCCCATGCTAAGATTTGCAGTCAGATTTGAGGGCTGACACTAGTGCCACGTAAATGCCATTCTTTTGAAAACATTTAGCATTACATAAAAAGTTCACCATCACCTCCATGCTGATGCATCGCAGCAAGGCAAATTAGACTGCATTTAGCATTGTTTCTGTGGCTGCATTTCTTCAGGCTCCATTTCTTGAAGTGTAATCACGTTTAGATGCACTCATGCATTTCCATGGTCTGTAGTATAGATGTTCACGAGGACTTGGGAGGCTTTAATTGGGATGAAATGGAATGCTCAGTCAAGATCGTGCTATTAAGCATATTCAAATTAATAGCTTTAATATAATAATTATAATAACCATTATCTGTCTATACTACAGCAAGTTCATACTTGCTTTATGCATATTGTTTAATTTTTGACTCTGATTTAAAAATGTACTGTCAAGAAATGCATGAATTATTGTATGTATGGTGTCAGCTCCTTGGAGGAATATTTCTGTCTTATACAAGCTTTTACACACTGAGGCGGATGAGAAAACTTAGCGTTTCCTATTTTGATTCTTTACATTATTTTCTTTTGCAGGCAGGAAGAACAAGGGCTATAGGAATTGTAGGGATCGAAAGGAAATTAGAAGAAAAAAGAAAAGAGACTGACAAAAACATTTCCGAGGTAAATACTACTGTAGTTTCAAGGTCAGCCACCTGTCTGAGCTATTTACATTTATTCACACTTTCTTTTAGGGGCAGCTGAGACTATTGTTTTTGTTGAGAAATCTGAATTGACTAGGAGTATATTTTTAATTTTTTTTTTTTTTTTTTTCAAAATATGAGGTATTTTCATGTAAACAGTTGTTTCCAGAAGATTGTTGTTTGGAAATACTGCTGAGTATTTATGAAATTAGTTTTGATAGAATTAGAAATCTGAGTTCAGTGAGTTTTTCATCAGGAGAAGCAGAACATAGAGGCAGCTACAGACGGAGACTATTACGAGTGTCTTTTTCTGTTTGTACAGGTAAGGTTGGTTTCAGTTGAAAAATTAATACGCAGTAAGAAGAACATGCTGAACTAAGAGCACATAAGTGTGGTGCAGTTATGTTTTCATCATATAAATATTCACTTTTTAAATGTTAGACTTAGGTTTGTAATTATAGAAAAGTGCTCAGTAGTTGAGGCGCCAGTGAGATGTTACAAGTATCTATGCAAAGTGCGTGGGCTAGATGGAGACTGTCCTTTTTCCCAGAAACAGCACAGTAGCTGAACTTCAGATGCCAATACTGATGGACAACAGAAGCCATTAATTTCATCGCTGAAGATCTCTCACATGTATCTGGGAGCAATATCCTCAGAAATAGTCTGGTTCTGTCTTGTTAACAGAGATTGATAGGTAGATTGATGGAGAAGTGCTCGCAAACTGTCTACAACAGATGGATTTTATGGAGAAGCTTCATGGGATTCAGCATGGCACGATAAAAAAGGCATTTGCTATTCTGATGTATAAGAAAATATATATAGCAATTTGTAGGCAACATGCAGTTTCAGATACTGCTAGCATTTTTTTATGAAGAACAACATAGTGAATGAAGTCCTGTGTGCAGTTCAAAAGGCATTGTGGTTGTATGTGTGCCTGTATAGTTCAAACAGTATTGTCTGGTTATTTTTTCCGTTCGTAGCTTTTTCAGAGAGTAAAAGAAATCCATTTGTAAGCGTTGTATGAACGGAGGAAAGTCATGACTGGTAAAATCCTGCCTTCCTCCAGCTTTAAATGTTATAGATGACTTAATTTTAAAAAATGGTGCCCTGGCTTCCAGGAAAAGGCTTCCTGCATCTGCTGTTCACTGCTGATAAGAATCCGGTTCTTTAGCCTTTTGTTTATCTGAGGAAGTTCCTGTTAGGTGTGTGCACATTCCCCTTTGTTTCCAGGCCTGCCCTCGTGAGTCAGCCAGGGGAGGAGTCAGACACAGCATGCTGTTTATTTAGCTAAATCAAGGGTGCTTTTGATCAGCAGTGTTTTCTAATCTCTACAATGTGCATGAAATAAGCTGGGAAATGCCATTTTAGAAAAGTTTAATATCATATACAAGTACAGTAGAATGATCTAAATTACACTAAAGATGGGGAAATCTAGTGTAAATCACTGCATTTGGCAGGTTGGGATGCAAGAAGAAATATTCCACTTAATTTTGGATATGGAACTGAGGTACCAAGCGTTAAGAGGCTGGACTGTTGAAATCAGTCACTTGCACCATTAGGAGGGATTTGGATGAAATCCAAATCTGTCCCTTCCCAGAGTCATCTTTCTCTTCTGTGGAGTCTCAAACCAACAAGCTTCTGAGTCAGGTGCCTAAATGTAAGTGGGAACAATACAGTGTTACTGCAGAAGTTCTGCTAGAACTTGTCTCTCTAGTGGGGGATTAGTCAGAAAGAGCTAGGAAGATACTAAATTGCACAGAAGCACTGGCTAGAAATTGTTGGCAAGATGCATCTGTTGTCATTTGATGTACTGTAACTGAACATCCTTCTTTATTTGTGGCTGGAGAGATGGGGTGCTGCTGTCAGGCAAGCTTTACTTGAAAAGGCTCTTGAGCTTTTCCCACACCAGTTGTTCAGAAAAGGTGGTTTGGAAAGGTTCACCACCCAGGCAGGTTGTCACGTGCTGAAGGCTCAGTGTTGCTGAGGCTGGCAGAAATGAGAGTTGCTCTTAAATAGCTTAAATGCATTTCTTAACTTTTTTTTTTTTTTGGTTGAAGTACACCATTTTTATTTTTCTTAATGCCAGTTGGTTATCATTACTGAAGCTTTTAACTTTTACTGTACTTTTCGCTTGCTTTTATGTTTTATTCAAGCCTGAAAATGCCCTTTGCAGATAGTTGTAGATTTGTTGTATTTGAGACCATCGCCATTTGCTAAGCGTAACAGACTTGAAGTCATTATGGTCTTACAATGAGCGTCCAGTTTGTTACATAGTTCTGTGGAAACAATAACATTTCTCAGACTACAAAATGTACAGATTGGTTTTTACTTAAGCATGGGTTTTGCTTTCTAGGTCCAACAACTAGAATTTTCAGAAGCTTTTAAATCTTAACTTACATAAATCTGATTGTCTCATGGGCATTATTTCACTTACTTTAACTGTTTTTGTTTGTTATGGGAGCATCACTGGTCCTTTGTATGAGGTACATAAATGAAAAGATGTTGACATGTTTTCAGACACTTTGTCTCTTAGGTATAGGTGTGTCTCTTCTATAGATGTGAAAGAATGTATCCTCTTCCTTGCTTATTTTAAAGGAACTACAAACTTTCTTACTGACTTAATAACATCTACACAAAGTAAAATTGTCTTGTCAGGAGGATTTTTTCTGTAGCTTTACAGCTGGCTAGCTGTTGTCCAGAAACAATAGATATCTCTGAGGATTAACTGGTTGAAGAAAACCAACCTCAATGTTTCACTGTTCCTTCCTGTTGTATGGGCTTTATAAATCATAATGATCTAATGTTCACAGTAAAAAAGCATACAATTTCTTGATTTGTTTTCTTTCGGTATTTGTTGTTTATGGATTGTACCATTTTGATTTGTAGACCTGTATGAAACAAGTTTCCATACACCAAGGAAGTATATATAAACTATCACATAACATACTAATCTATAGGGGTAGCCACTCTTACAATTACCTTGAACAGGTGTACAAAGGCAACTCACGGTATCCATGAAGCTGAACTCTGTAATGATACTGATCTGGAATGTCTTGCTTTTCATTTCAGGCTTTTGAGGACCTTAGTAAACTAATGGAGAAGGTATGGCACATGTGACTTATGTAGATTTATTCTCGTTTTCTTGGTTTTAAACATGTTTTCTCTGAGCTGAATGTTGATTTATCTGTGTGTCTTTCTTGATAGGCTAAGGAAATGGTGGAGTTATCCAAGTCAATAGCTAATAAGATTAAAGAAAAGCAAGGTGACATCACCGAGGATGAGGTAAATGAGTTTTGTTTCTAGAATCAACAGAAATGTTCCTATGCAAAGCAAAAGCAATCCTTTTGATAAATTCTATGTTAATAAAGAATAATTGAATACTTCTCCTTTTAAATTCTAGTTAAAGAGACTTCAGTGTTTGATGTTAGTATTTATTTTGACCCTTTTTTGTTAAACAAAGATTTTGCTGCCTTTGCATAGAGAATGATGACAGTTTTCTGCTTGTTACAATGTAAATTGTATTAGCATTGCCTTCAATTTGCTAGTAATTGACTTTATTGGTAGTAAACTGCTTGGATTTACTCTCTGAAACTGTCTTGTAGTAATAAAATCAAAGTGTTTTAAAAATGAGAATCACGCGCTAGCTGATGTACATTTATTTATTTGTTTAGACCATTAGGTTCAAATCATACCTGCTGAGTATGGGTATAGCTAATCCAGTCACTAGGGAAACGCATGGATCTGGTACCCATTACCACATGCAACTGGCGAAACAACTAGCTGGAATGCTGCAGACACCATTAGAGGTAAAGTACCTAATTTTGCACAAGTGTTTTCTGTGTGTTGCTGAATTTGGATGTAAATATGTTTTGGGTGTATTATAGTGATTCTTTTTAAACATTCAGAGTTAGCAGCACAGCTTTGTATTCAGTATTTATGAAAGGAATGTATATCCTCTTTCCAAAGGAGAAAATTTAAGTGTAAGAATTTTTGTTCGGAGTAATGGCATCTTGGCTTCTAATTCATGAAGTGCTGGTGGTATCTAGTAAATCACATTAGTAGCCTTTTCTGTTTTGAACAGCCTTTATTTCTTCCCACAGAATATTATTCTTTCTAAAAAGAAACAACGGTAACTTTGAAAAGACAAGCAGTCATTCTTCAAACTGCTTAAAAATTCTATACTTATTTTTTCTTTGTAATGCATCATATTTTAATTTATCTGAAGCTCTCAGAGTTCAAGATTACTGCCAAAAAGCTTGATTTCCTTTTGAAACTTTGAAGTCTACATACACTCTCCTAAGAAGCAAATAATATGTTCTGTGAAAGAAATGTGCTAGCTGCTGTGATCAGAAAGACAAACTATCTGAAAAGTAAAACTAAGTTGATTGATAGATTTAATATATTGAAATTCTTTGTTCCCGTGACTTACTCTTTATGGTAAATCAAACTCTCAGTTTCTTGATATAGTATCAATTTCTTGTATTTTAAAATGATTAGAAAAAGATATCACCTAACAAATTAATGCTAGAAATATGTGGTATTGTCCTGGGTAGCTTTTTCATTAAAAGCTATCATTTAGCTCCTGTTTTAGCTGCTTAATAACGCAAAAGCAAGTTAAGATACTGTGTTTACTAGATCAATACTATTTCTCTTACCAGTCTTGTACTTACACAGGAGAGAGGAGGAATCATGTCACTCACGGAAGTGTACTGTCTGGTAAATCGTGCACGAGGATTAGAGGTGAGACATTGATTTGTCTTAAATATTTTGTAAAATGTACTTCCTTCCTAAGGTAATTGAAGAAAAAGTGCAATAGTATTCCCTACCAGTTGCTCACTCTACCTTTCTAACAACATGAAGTGATAAGCCCTTCATTAAAACAAGGAATTTTCACCATTTTCCTTTCTCTTTCTTCCGTGTAATGGTTGTGTTCTCTGTAGCTCGTCATAATGTGTGCTGCATTTTATAATACCAAATAAAAGGAACAATCCATCCTTATCTAGAAGGAAAACTGTAGGGACAGAATACTAAAGAATAGGGATTTTTTTTTCCAAAATACGTCAGTTTTTCTCTGCAAACGGGCAAGAAGGAGTATTATAGAAAACATAGCAAAGGATCAAGGAGTGTAGAAGCCAAGAGTACAAAACAGTATTTAAAAAAAAAAAAAGAACAAAATTATGTAATCTGGTGTATATGATAGCTGTAGTTGTTGTAACTGGTCTGCGGCTACTGGAATTTCAAGCTGTGAATAAATGTTTTACTATTTTTAGTTGCTCTCACCTGAAGATTTAGTAAATGCTTGTAAGATGCTGGAGTCCCTGAAATTACCACTAAGGTAAGAGATTTACAGATATATTTATAAAACATGGTGCTCACAAGTCAGGCTTAATACTTTACCTGCAGTAGCTATTTTTTTAAACAGTCATCCAGGAGCTGCTTAATACACCAACATCCCCTCTATGTTAAAATATTAATTCTTAACCATCTTTCACTTTGCCTGCTATATATAGAATATGTAGCAGTATGAATGAAAAAGGATGATTTAACGATTGCTCTGTGTCAAACCATTTATGTCCTCCTTTGTTGATGTTGCCTATCAACATAGTTCGCCATCCCTGGAAGTGTTCAAGGCCAGGTTGGATGAAGCCTGGTCTAGTGGAAGGTGTCCTGCCCATGGCATGGGGTAGGAATCAGATTGTGCCTCCCAGCACAAACCATTCTGTGATGTCTTTTGAAACTGGGAAAAGTGTTTAACAACACCAGGCATATGCCCAGCTCTTGCCTGTCTATTCAGACTTTGAAGATGCTTTTAACTTTAAGTTCATTTTACACAGTGGTTTTTTTTTTTTTTTTTGAATGTGGTTATAACTGTGTGACCATAAGTAATGTGCAGAGCTTTTAGTTACTTTGACTCTTCTGATTTTAGGCTTCGGATATTTGACAGTGGTGTGATGGTGCTTGAGCTCCAGTCTCACAACGAAGAGGAAATGGTAGCTTCTGCTTTAGAGACAGTATGTGAACTTCACTTCCTTCAGTGTTCAGACTGTGCTGGGGATACTTAAATACATTAGGTATAAAAATGTAAAGTACAGGATCTCCTTTTGAGGTTTTAAAATACAAAATATTGCACTTCCAAAATCTTCTAACAGTAATACTTAAATAGCACTTCTCATCTTCAAAATGCTGTGCAGGCAGTAGCCTTAGTCACTGCTTTCTCCTTAAGGAATAAAACACTTCTCCATCTCTTCTCAAACTTCATTAACCTTTGACCTTCCTCCAGATCTCTTGTGCTGTAGAATAAAATTCACAGTGTATATTAAGTATGCCACTTAACAAAAGTGGACTTCAGTCTCTGTACACAGTGTGCTTAAAGGCAGTGAAAGTAGCTCTTAAATGTTGATATAGCTGGTTGTTTGGTCTGGGTTTGTTTTGTAAAATAGCACATTGCATGTGTAACACCTCATACTGAGTTTGCTGTGAAGAGCGCTAAGAGTAGTAAGTATGGAATTAAGCTGGCTTCATCAGGCCTAAAAAAAAAAAAAAAAGTGGCATAAATTGCTCAGGATGGTAAACATTCCTAGTCTTGCATGTCTTGACTCTTTAAAGTGCTGCTGTCCCATTAATGTGATGATTTTCCCATGTGTTTTCCAGTGGGATGTGAATTTGTTTTTCACAAAACTGAATGAAGGATGATTGGGTGTATTTAAAGTTAAACACAAGTCAAGAAGGACTTTGACTTGGGCAGTCAAAGAAGAAAAAATAGAGCTATCACAGGCATCTTCTCACTTGATAAATCAAGTGGACTCTTCAGTGTGGCTTTGTGTTTGGTACTGTTAGAACACTCTTACCAAACTTACCAAAAGATCTTTTTGATAAGAATGTTTATACCTGTCTAAAAATACCTTCTTAATTTGTCAAAATTAAAACACTTAAATTGAAAGGATTAACATATATTGAAATATTTATTTTGTTACATTTACAGAAAAATACCTAGTCCATTTAAGTTTTTTAAATATGTATCTTTTTCAAATTAATTTCTTGCCTTCAGTAAGAGGGCTTATCACTTGGAAAGGAAAGGAAGGGCCTTTTCTTAACAAATGAGGTCAACCACAAAAAGCAGCAGCTGGTGGATTTATTAATGAGGTGCCTTTTTTCTTTTATTTTTGTAACATGGGGCTTTGACTTCATAGAAAAATGGAAGGGAGAGGCTTAGAGTGAGGAAGGCTAGCCCATAAGGGAAAGGGAAGATGAGATCAGAATAGTGGCCAAAAGCTCCCTGTGCTTAAATTGTAACGTGCAGTAACTTGAAACTTCTGAGAAATAAAAATGAAAGGAAGTCGCAGGATTTCAGAGAGGAGAGTGATGTGGTTTAGAACGGCTGGCGAAGACAGGAAATGCCATGGAAGTTGATGGAAGCCGAAGTCACTCTTGATGAGAGTGGTGGTTTGGGAAGGAAAAACAGTTAATGACCCACATGCCATATTAAATTGTAGAGCTGACTTCCAGTACTCAGATTGAATCATTTCTGGTCATAAAATCTGAAGTCAGGACTAATTCGATCTGAGTTTCTGCAAAAGGATTACTGCTGCTCAGGGAGTGCTCGGAATGACGCAGAGTGAATCCCTCCCCAGCTGGTTATGTGGGAAGCAGGAAATGGCAACTACATGTGGATATGAATTTGCTTTAATCAGTGGAGAAATGGATGAAATAATTTGTAGTTAATAAATCAAATGTTTATATAGGGAAATTCAATGCAGTAATAATCCTGGACTTAACGTTTTGTATTTTTAGTGTCCACATGCCAACCTGTGTGAGAAGGTTTCATTTTAGCATGTATTAACTAGCGTGATTGAGACAGTAGAACCAAAGTTTTGAGTCCCAAGACTGAACCTGTCTTTTCTATTAACTGAATGTGATAGTGGCTTTTACTGATCCCACTAGTAGGCCATAATACAGGGTGGAGCCCTAATGTTTTGGGATTTAATGCAGCTGGTAAAGATGTGTTAAATCAACTCAAATTCCCCACCTCTCTTTGAGATGACTTGGATTTCTAAATGGATGGCCTGTCCTGTCCTGCTGGCTTTTATTTCCTCACTTGAGCTTAACTGTCTGCAGAATCCCTTAGTATTTACACAGCTCAGCCATACTAATTGTTACAGAATACTGCTGTCTATGAGCTAATTTTTTTTAATGCAAACAGACTTGTTTTCACAAGAGAGACGCTATCAATTTATCGCTTTACAAGGCTAGGCCTGACTGAGTTGCTACTTTAATACCCTTGTTTGTTTATTTGTGTTTGTTTCTGATAGGTATCCGAAAAAGGTTCTCTCACAGCTGATGAGTTTGCAAAGCTGGTGGGGATGTCCGTTCTCTTAGCCAAAGAAAGGTAATCAATAACGGTTGTGTTTAATAATGCCTTTGTTATCAAGTTGTCCTCAACTAATGCAACAAATCTTCTGCTTTCTTTAGGCTGCTTCTCGCTGAAAAGATGGGCCATCTCTGCAGGGATGATTCAGTGGAAGGCTTGAGATTCTACCCAAATTTATTTCTAACACAAAGCTAATGTAGTTTGTGTACAGCTGCTATGTCTCAGTTGAACATGAGAGCAGAGGGCAAAACCCTTGCCACAACTGACTTCAAAAAAATTTTTACTTTTTGTCAACTGCAACAGTGATGAACATTGCAATGCTTTACAGTTCTCAGGTATTTCAAGTGCTGAACGAATCATCTTATGCGGAACCAAAAGGAAATAGGAATCACTAGGTCAGAAACATTGTAATTGTCTCAAGCTGGCTAGCTTGTGTTTCAAGTCTTATTTGATGTGTTCTGTAACTTCTCATTTCAAGAAAAATGAGATGAGGATTCCACGCAAGTGAAAGTGGAGAGAATACCCCTGTAGCCTGCCTTGAGCGTCGGCACCCAGAACATAGGTTATTGCCTACTCCGATTTCAGTTTATTTATGTCTAGAGCAGCAAAGCAGACAGATGCATCCGTAGTGATAAGAATAGTGACTTTGGTGTGCACCGAGGTATAAGGAACAAAACGGTGTAGCGTAACCCCTGCTCCCTGAAGTGATGAAGTATTCTGAGAGGACCTTGGGATTCTTTACGCTTTGAGAAAAAAAGAACCTGCTGCAGCAGAGATTAACAGATGTTATGTGAATCTAGAAAACATTGTGCGTTTTGTCATGTCTTACTCTAGTATCTCAGATAGAAGCATTGTTAGTGCAGACTTCCTCCCTTCTCTTTCTTTGCCGTCTCCCTTCCTGTCTCATTGTGCTGCACTTTGGGTGCACTTTCTCTGTCCTCTCTCTATGTCATGTCATGTAGTAGCCTCCTGTCACTTTACCAGACTCAGCTGGTAAAGCTTTAATGTGCTTGGATTTGTCTTGTACTTTAATGAAAGATCAGGCTTCATCAGCCTGTTACTGTTTTGGGGAGACGGTTCTTTTTGTTTGTGCCTCGTATGCCAAAATTAATGCCCTTTCAATACTGAAGGGAAGAGGAAGACTATCGCCCCATGTTTAGTAGTCACGAGTTATCTTTTTGTGTGGTACTCCTCACCCTGTGTTCAGACTGAATGCAGTTTGATGGCCTCAGCTTTCATAACTCCAGTGGAGTTGTTCTATTACTTGAAAATCTGTCATGGTAATAATGGTCAGCAGATGTTTATGATCCATACCAGTTAAATTTTCAGCTTTTTAAATGACCAGTTTTACTAAATGACAAAATTAATTAAAATATGGTCAAGGACAACATACATGCAACAGCATTGTGGCTGTAAAGCCAAATCAGCATTACAAAAAAAGGTGAGAAAGGTGTGTGTTTGTTTAGCGGCCTGAAAATGTTGTCAGAGCTGTTTGTTACCGTAGCTCAAACAGGGTTAAGAACCTGGGAATAATGGGTTCAGCGTGGAGATCCCTACAGTGCTGATGCTTTTGATCTGTCCAATGTGCATTTAGATCTAGAGAATTGTATCCTCTTATTTTTGTCACTAGCAAACTTTTATGCAGTGCTTTCTTTAGGGTGGTTTTCCTCTGTTTAATGAAAGTGGCTAGAACTAATGAATTCTGCACAGCTGGAAGAACTATTCCACACCATTCTTGCTGTGTTAACCATCTAGTATCATCTGTCCAGGAGCCGTATGGCCCACTGCTTTCCTTCATCCTCCCCACAACCCACAGAAGAGGTCTACGCGAGGCACTTCAGGCAGCATCTGTCTAAGAAAGGACTGGAAATCGAGAAATGTCGAAGCAAAAAGCTGGTTCATGAGAGCTGTTTCTCTTGCATGATGCCCAAACCTGCCAAGGGGAGAGCAGTGGTTTGTGGGCCTGAGCCTCTCCCCACAAGGGGGCATGTCTTCTGCCAGCAAGCACAAAGACAGAAAGGAAATGCCAACTGTAAACTTCCAGACTCTGTTGCTCCAACACAGAGCATTTCAGTATCTTAATTAAGCAATAACAATATGATGTATTACGAATGATGGTACTTTCTTGAGCGTTTTCTTCCCAAGATTTTCCTTGATGTTTTTTTTCTTCCTGTAGGGAAGAAATCTAGAAGCCAGATCGTAGAGCTGGTTTAAAATTTAAATGTAAAGAGGAAATGACTGCCAGAAAGTAATAAAAAATTAAAAGATTTTTCTTAAATAGGCTGTTCTGTGAGTTTTTTCTTCCTAAATGTTTTTGGGCAGCTTTAACACTCTTACAAATCAAAATCTTGTGGTTCTGTGTTTTGTTTTGTTTTTTTTCCAACCTTGATGTTTCTATGACATGTTTTTGCTGTGTCATTTGTACCCAGAAGGGTGGAAGTCAGGATCAATTTAAAATTAAAAGATAGAATTAAACACAGTTAAAATGCCCTGGTTCTGTTGCTTAGTAGCCTGTGACCTAGCAGAGGCTAAAATCACAAAACTGTAGATGTCTGTGGAAGCACAGACTGGCTCCCTCGTGAAGTCAGAGTCAGACCCAGACATACACCCTGTGCTGGCATTGGAAAGGCCTTGAACACATTTAAATGTGTTTTCCCAGCTGATAGACCACAGAAATCACGTATCTGATACCCACAGTGAGCCAGCTGCTGGCAGAACGAGTATAGTGGCATTATTCATGGGTGTGTGATATCGGGGTAGCACATCAGATTGTCCGAAGTTGTCAGTGCCCAGTCCTGTTTCCACTGGTACTACTAGCAAAAAAAAAATAATAATAATAATAAAGCAAACTATTTACTGTATTGATGCAGGATTATGGAAGAGAGGAGACTACAGCTTAGTACAGAAGGTGCTTGTATGAATCTTTTTCTTACATGTTTTGATTGTTCCTAGGATGTTTGTGTCATACCATGATATGTGAGCACTATCTCGCTTTGCCAGGGTGTCCAACGATGCAGGCCTTTGAACAGAGGCTGGTAACAGAGCTCCATTCAAAAAGCCCTCACTCCTTTATGGAGCGGTCTTAAATGATGATTATGCTTTTCATTTGAAAACAGGGGCTTTTTTATGCCCCTGGCAGGAAAAGAAGGCTGCTCAGGAATCTGTACATCTTTTCCGCTTCTCCTTTGCCTTTGTTTTCAGGAACAATCACTTTATGCTCAGCCTATGGAAGCATGGATCTGATCTGAACTGTGCTTCTGAAGGGCAGACTCTTTTCTGGAGTGTTATATACCTGTGTAGGTATGGGGATTTGGAAGTCCTTTAGAAGTGTATCTTTAATAATTGCTCCTGGTTGTGTAGTGATTAGCTAAACTCATCAACACTCAGTTTTCCTAACAGCTTTTATGGTTTGTCCAAAGGACCTGACTCTGTGCGTTGTAAAATTAGTGGAAGTGTTGGCACCAATTACAATTAAAAATAATAAAAACTAAATAATAATAATCAATAATATAATAATAAATATTAATAAAAACCAAATAATAAATAATAATAATAATTAATAATAAAAAACTAAAACTGAGAGGGGGGGGGGAGTCCTCAGTTTCAGAATACCCCAGATCCTGCTGGTTAGCGCACACTCCTGAGAGGTAAGCCTGATAAAAGCCAGCTTGCTTCACATCCCAGCTCCAAGCCGAAGGCTAGGTATGATTTGGGGTTTCCTCTTTCCCTTTGGATTATAAATGCTGTAACTTCAGATTCCTGCAGATGACGAGGACGTTAATCCCTGCTCTGCTGTGCTCACAGCAGTGACCGACAGCAAGCTGAAGGTAAAAGGGGCTGGTGCTGCCAGAATATTCATGACCTCTCTCTGAACTTAGCCTTTTGCTTCTACTTTTAGCCTAAGAGCTCAGAGCATCCAGACGTTTTGCATTGTTTAATTCACTTTTTATATACTTGGTTGTTTTCACTTAGATGGCAGAATGATCTCAAGGGAGTGAGTAAAGGAGGAGACTGATGTAATCTAATCTAAATGCTGTTTCACTCTTTGTACTTTGAAGTCAGCAGTCAAACAAAGAAATCAGCGCTCCTGTGCCCCCCCATTCACATGTGCAGAATACTCCCGGAAACTCAAAGGCAGGACTTGTTATTTTAACCAAAAAGTTAGCAGGAGGATACACGCCATGTGAGAGCACTCCCTGATGGGAGGGACTATAAAGGCAGCACGACCACACTGAATAAAATTGTCTGTTGCTGCTTTGGCATTTGTATTGTGGTAATTTCGTGATTTATTTTAGGTAGAATTCATTTCAAATGTTGCCTAAATGTGACAGCATTTGATACTACCTCCTGCTCTCAGCCAGACTTGGCAGCTATGCATGTGTGGCATGATTCCCCCGAGTTTCACTTAAAATCTGACGGGGAGTTTGAGGTGTGTCCTTAAATTGCAAAGATCTTGTGGTCTGATCCACCCATTAAACGGGAAGGGCAAAACTCCCACTGCCTTCACACCCAGCCTTCCTTGGAAGCAGACGCTGACCAGCTCTGCGAAGAGGTGCCTCAGGTAGGGCTGGGCTCTGGCGGCAAGGAAGAGCTTAAAAAGCGGTCTGGAGTAAGATCCCCAAATGTTTTGGTCTTTTCAGCAGAAATACTAAACGAGCCATACGTGATGCAAAGCGACCGGCTTTGATCTTTCTGCTTTCCTATTGTTTTTTCCACAGTGTTTTGGGAAAGCCCAAGATAAGGATTTTTTATTTTAGTTTAGTTTCCTGCTGGGACAGTGATCCATTCATAGGTTACAAGGCCAGAAGAAACTCTGACCGTCTGTCTTGACCTCTTGGGTACCCGAAGCTGTAGCACTTCCCTTCGTTAATTTGTGCTTGAGCTCCTCTTTCATGAACAAGAGGCCTTGGTTTCTGGGAAACCCCACAACTCTTGGCAGCTTTTGCCAGTGGCTGTTACCTGTGGTAAAAATGCTCTCAGCACACATAATCAGAGCTTGCTTAGCTTCAGCTTCCAGGGACTGGACATTATAGTTACTGAATCTGCTATCACGGGTGTATTTCCCCATAAAAACAAACCATTTGGAGCCCTTCTGCCCACTACATTTTATTTTTTTCTGTGTAGATGCAAGCGTGAGTCAGGCTGCAGCCTCCTGGTGGGCTCTCACCTCCATGGGGACCTTAAAAAAGAGGGAAAGTGGGGTTCGAGGGTGGTGCCCTGCATGAGCTGCATTGGGCTATGTGCTCTGCAGCTCCCATTCCTAATTAAAATCCCAAGCTAGACTTTTTCTTAAACTCAGTGTAAAATCTCTGAGCCTAAACCACAGCGGGGTTATTAACAAACAGCATAGGTGGATAGTTTTGGGGCTTAGCGTGCTGAAGCCTGCCCTGCAGGATGGCTGGCAGTTTACAGCAGCTTTCCTGAAAATGTGCTTCCTCCTCGGTTGTCCTTCAAGTTATGCTTAATGCTCTTAGCAAAGCTCTCGCTGTTGTATTTCACTTGAGAACCTCATCATTGATCCTGTATCAGAATGAAAACCACTCTCCCCAATTTTCCTACAAGTTTTCATAGAATCATAGAATCATAGAATATCCTGAGTTGGAAGGGACCCTTAAGGATCATCAAGTCCAACTCTTTTGTTTCCTCATAGCAGTTTGACCCAGATCATCTACCTTGCACTTGGTCATAATACTTTTAGGCGGGATAAATGGCAAAAAAAAAAAAAGTAAACCAACATCTTTCTCTGCTCAAAACCTGTGAGCAGCCTCACAAACGAACTGGATGTGGCAGTGGGAGCTCGTGTTTAGTTAACGAGAGCGGGATCCCCAAATCCCTTTAACGTAATGAGTGCCCAGGAGGGAGCTGCACGTCCTGTAAAGCATGTTTTGTGTTCCTGGATATGTAATTTTAAGGGAAATGCTTTAAAATCTGTATTGCTTGCTAAAGCTTAGTGTGCTCACTCAGTGGTATTGACCTGCCATTGGTCACTACCAATTTGTATTTTACCCTCCCAATTTGTGTTTCATCCGAAAACTTGAGCAGGGACAATATTACGTCCTCTTTTAGGTCTCTGACAGAAGTTTTAAATTGCTAAATCCACACTTAGATCTTTAGGTAAACACGTCTCGTATGAAGATGACACATTAAAATGACATTTTGAGACCAGTCAGTCAACATTTAATCCCTTTAATGTACGCTGTGCAAATTTCGCAGAAATTTCCTCGGTGGAAATGTCAAGCCAAATGATTTACGGAAATGCAAACATTATTACATCAAAACATCCCTGCCTTTATTCACCAAACATAATTTTATCTAAAACACCTTTTCTACCAATCTTCATCAATTGGCATTGGCAGTGGTCCTCCCCTTTTTTATCACCAGCTTTTCCATCGCTATGCCTGCATTCGCTGTAAGGCCACCAGATTTGTACCAGCCCGGGCTGCTCTAACTTTGCAAACAAACCAAAATAAAACCCCACACGTGAGTATTCTTCCAGTAGTCTGAAACTTCCACAGACATTTCCAGGCTGATTGATTGGAAAACCCACGTTACTAATCGTTGGAGGCAAGTTTATCCAGACCTGCTGATTTTAAATTGCTGTACCTTGAGCTGCTCTTATTTTATGTTCTCAGATTTGTATTGGAACAAGAAGTATTTGGAATATGTCTCTATCGTCTGTTTTCCCCTCAAAACAGAACAGAAATATTTATTGAACATCTGTGTTTCTTTTGCATTCCAATTGACAAGTCAGTTCTTTCACAAATAGGACTTTTGCCATTCTTTCATTTAAGATACACATTAAAATCAGGCAAACCTTTATCACTCAGCACTGCTGCCTGCAGGTCTCGTGTTCGTTTGAATTCTTTACCAGATTTATGCATCTGATTTCTTCCAATTCATGTAAATTTTGCCTTTCTTCTCATTATTTTTATACAATTGAAATGCTTTCTATAGTTAAATTACCAGTATTTGAGTCAGTTCTCTAGCCAAGAATGAAGTTTTTTTAACCAGTGCAACCTTTCTTTATTTATCATTGTTTGTTATTTTATTTTTGATAGCTTGAGAAATTTTCTTGAGTAATTTAGAGTTCTGATTTCCAAATGGACATGCTTCGGCTTCTCACTGCTTCCAGCCTTCTGAAGTTTCCCCCTGAACCATCAAACATTTACACTACTGTTTCGGACCTTACCTTCTTCATTCATGACAGATTACTAGCTTGTATTGGAGCCAGCACCTCTTTGGGGTTTTACAATTAATTCTCCTTTGTCAGTGTG